TGGATGGCAAACCTATATGCTTTGAGGGCAAAGTGGGCTGCATGTGTACCGTGATTTTTCAAAGTTCTTTTATATGAACTCAACCCAAAGGAGTGAAGGTATGAATAATGTCTTCAAAAAAGATTTCAGAGGAGACCATTTTGTTTCTTTCCGAGCTCCTTGTAGAATGTGAGAAGGTTGCAGTTAGTCTCCGCAAATGAGTTGGATGCTGATTTTAAGTCACGCCGAAGAACCCGTTGCATGCATACATTCCAAATCTACCAATGTTGAATACAGTTGCTGAATCATATACAAAGATAATGTATTCAGAGTTTGAGGAAGAATTTAAGAGACAGCTATTTACGTTGTCTTGTGAATTGTTGGAAGTCAATGGGACAAACAAGACATTCTTTGTTAAGTACATGTACTCCCGAATGTGAGCAACAAGTAGTATTGAACAATTCAAGATTCCACCATTACATGCTCTTGTTTGATAATTTGAATCCATAGGTGTGTATACTATTTACATTTCAATTTATACATTGTAAGCTGTAATATGGTTTGTTTAAATTGGCAACTATATCTTACATGGTGTTTATTGTGTAAGCATGCTCTTAGAGTCTTCAATACTTAATGGAGTATATAATTTGCCATCGCAATATATACTCGCCTAGATGGACAAAATATGCTAAAAGTGGATTTTATATTGAGAAACAAACCTTCGAGACGGAGATTTGAAAACACATGCATCACTTTATATCTCGACAGCCACATCTCTTGCATTGAAGTGTTCACCGTCAAAAGAACTTCTTGATAAATTGCGTAAAGCTATACATAACTTGAACCTCGAAGCGGATACTTATCTGATTGAGATGCATGAAAAATCCAACGAGGTTCCTCCAATCCCAAATGAAGGTGTCCAACAACCATTAAATGGTGTAATATCATTTAGAATTCCCCAAGTAATAAAAGGACCAAAGAATACACGTTTTAAAAATGCTGTTGAAAAGAAGGTAGGGAAGAAGAAGAAGAAAGGTGGTCAGAAAAAAGGTTCTAACCTTTTGCTTATGTCTACAATTTTTTAAAATATTGTATTATGATATATAAATATATTTCATTGTAGGTGAAGATCTGAAAAATAATGATGTAGAAACAAGAGATGAACATGCTGATCCAAACCAAATAACTGTAAGACATTAGCTATTTTCACAATTTATTCCCTTACAAGCATGTTTTGTGAACACTTTCTTATGCTATATATGACAGAATTTTAATGCTGGGCCATCTTCATCCATGGATGCTCCTTTCCTGCAAGGTGGATATGCTAATTCCACAATGACACACTTCAATCTAATTCCAGAACCTTCTGCAATGGCTGCTCCATATATTCCAGGAGGATACACAAGTCTCTTAATGGGAGTTGATCAAGATGCTACAATGCAAACTGCTGTTAGGAAGTTACATTTTGATGGAGTGCAAAATCTTGAATCTATGTAACTGTGCTCATTTGCTGTCAAGTCACCTTATGAAATGAAATATGTATATTCTGTTGGCTTTGCTTAGAATTTTGCATTTCAGATTATTAAGACACATTCCACTGCTGATTTCAAAACATCCAAATATTTTTTTAAGAATTTGAGGGCACCGGCCCTGTCTTAGCATTAGCAAAGACACAAATCATCCGGATTACAACATTCAGGTGGATCACACCCAACAATACAGTTCTCTGACGAAACCTCACTGAAAATAGAAACTAAGCAGACAATCCCAAGCTAGTTACACCTACTACCACTAAGCATAAGCATAGCTCCCCAGTTCAGATCACCATGTATATACACCACCAGAATCTTCAAGGCTTGAAGCATCTCAGTTCTCTTTTCCCAGGTCGAGACTGACCCAGGCCATTCCACTTCCTGAAGTTCCAGTCTTAGTGCTTAGCTTCTTCTTCTTCACTTCCTCAGGCAGTGAAAGGACATCCCAGTTATGAGATTGCTTAAACATGAAGGTGTCCCAGCCATCCTTCACATTTACATTATTCTTGCGAACCACTATTTTCACAGGTATAAATGAACTCAACACTGATACAATTGTTGACAACCTCTCTGTCATTCTGAAACATCTACATTCAGGCACACTTTCAATTCTTCAAGGAATCCCATAGTTCCTGAATCATTTGTCAGATGGGTCACGCTGCTGCAGTGTACCGTACATCCTGTTTCCTGCAAATACATATCGCTCCAATTTTCCAAAGTATCCAAACTGCATGCCATTTTAGCAGCCATCAGGATGGATACAGATAAAGTCTGTACATGAATCAGCAAGAGTGCTGGATGAAACATACCTGATCCAAATCGATGGGGTCTGCGCGGCAGACGGCGAGGGCGCCCAGGTTGAGGCCCAGGTCACCGAGAGGACGGCACAAACCTCTGGAGCTCCTCCCAACCCACCGCCGTCACCTCTGGATCTCCTCCCAATCCGCCGCCGCCACTCCCGTCTCCCTCTCCTCTCCCTGCCCGTCTGTGCAGGCGACCACTGCTGCAGGCGCCGCAGCAGATGCGCCTCGCTCAGCCGCGCGGTGGTCCTTCGTGACCTCCCCGGACACACCGCGAGTACAGGCCGCGCCGTGCTCTGGCTACGGCGGAGTCAGAGGAGATTTGGGCCGTGATGTGAAGGCCGAGCTGTCTGCTATACGGAGCCGAACCATCTGCGATGTGTAGCCATCTGCGAAGTGGATCCGATGGGGCGAGAAGTTTACCGCTGCCTTTGGATGGAACGGGCTTCCACGCGGCAGGCATCGCGCTGGGGGTCGCACCAGCAGCAGGGTGCTCCCATCGCCCAAACAATTTTTTTCCGCCCGCGCACACTGACACGCACCGCGCAATCTGCAAAATCTAGCCGCGCGCTACCGCCGTCAGGCACCGTACGCGGCCTGGATCGTGGACGAGTCCGATCTCACGTACGTTACGCCATCCCGCCTCCCGCACGTCACGTACGCGGTGTGTGCCGCGAACGCAAGGACGATTTGGAGTTTTGGCTGCTGATGCACGTACCACGTCTGATCTAATAAGGACCAAACAAAGATCTATGAATCTCAGGTGAACACTAATGGATCTTAGGTCGGTAGTGTTTGGTTGCTTGAATCAGTTTCATCCTGGGTGTGGGATGGTTGGGCTGACGAGATGACCATGGATAGAATTGTTCGAGTAGAACGTTTGGTTATAGTTGTACGAGGATGGTACATGATTGTGTTTGGTTGATTGTATGGGAAGGTAGATGAATGTGTTTAGTTACTTTCTTTTATCAAAGTGCTTAGTTACTTATTACTCACACCATTCCAAACTATAAGTTGTTTTGATTTTTTTACGTCGATTTTGCTATGTATCTACACATAACGTATGTCTAGAAACATATAATTTTTGTACCAAAAAAGTCAAATTGACTTAGAGTTTGGAAAGAGGGAGTAGTGGAGTACATTTCAAAGGATGTAAATATATGGTTTTCCATTTATATTATAATAAAAAAGTTACAATTTTTTTTAGAAAATTAACAATCACTCAAAAGTTAAATACGCCAAAACACTTACCATACAACATCCCACAAAAAAAAATCTCAAGTCCTGGAATTAGAATTGAGTTCCAAGGTAAACAGGTGCATGTCAAAAGGTCAAATCCAAAGTGAAGTTGTTCCATAGTACTCCATCCGTGCCCCCCTCCCCCCACCCAAATTGATGTTTTAGTTTTCAAAATGTCGTGGCGCGGGCGTCTATCCGTCCGTCCGGACGCCGCACGCCTCACTCCACGCTGCTGCCGCCTCCCCCCCACCCCCCCACCCCCGTCGCGCGCCCCATCCTGTGCCGCTCGCTCCTCGCTCCCGCCAGTCGCGCGTCCCACCCACGCCTCTCGTTCCTCGCTCCCGCCCAACGCTGCCCCTGCCAATGGTCGCTGGGCGCACGTGGCGCCACATGTTTTAGAGGTATGTTGCAAGTATTTCATATGGATATTGTAAAAGTAGATCAGGATGTTGCATACTCCCTCCGTCCCAAATTAATTGTTGTTTTGGGTTTCCATGCCATAAGTTTGACTAAATTTATAGAAAATATGTGCAACATTTGTATCTCCAAATAAATTTATTATGGAAATAGATTTAACGATCTATTTAATGATATTAATTCTGTATCATAAATATTAATATCTTTTTATATAAAATTAGTCAAAATTATTTCTCGGAAAGCAAGAACGATAGTTATTTTGGGATGGAGGGAATATGTTGCATATGACTGTTTTAGAGGTATGTTGCACCCGTTTGTTCAAAATATTTCATATGTTGCAGTAAGTGTTTTCATGTTGCAAGTTGCAAGTATTTTATCTGGATGTTACATAAGTTTCACACATACGTTGCAAGTGTATGTTCTAAATGTTTCATCTATTTTGGATGTAAGTTGCATTTAAGTGTTTCATGTTGTTCCGAGAGTCACAGGGCGCGGTGAGTGATGGGCGCATGGCCCGGGCACCAGGGAATGGGCCATGGCAAGCCAGGGGCTGGCGAACGGGGTGCACGGCGTGCTGGGGCTGGCGATCGGGTCGTGCTTATCATTAGTCGTTCATCCTGGCTCCCAGGTCCCGTCCGCGCGGAGAGAGAGAGAGAGAGAGAGGAGGAGGAGGTCGGGGGAGGAGCGGCGAGCGCAGCGACGGGGGCGGGATACGTGTGGGGGCGGGCGAGGCGGACAGGGGCGGGCTGCACGAGCCTCCAGACGCGCGTCCGTCCGGACGTGGGGGCGCCAGCCACACCGTTTTGTTTTATCCTAAGTGAAACTATCTAGAGTTTGACAAAATAATGATAATATTTATACCCATGTTTATATTATAAATATTTTTTGTCAGACTTATCATGGAATATATTTTTATGACATACATATTTTTTTTTTCTGTAAATCACCTTGTTCGCTTGATCGTTTCTGTGGCTTATAAGCCGGCTTAATTACACAACTAGCTAGTCCAGCAAATCAGTTGGGCGCGCGGCTACTACGGGGACGGGAAGCACGCCTCGCTGTCGAAGATGGCCTCCTTGAGCTCCCGCTGTATGGACGCCCTCACCGGCGACGCCACGAGGTCGTCCCACACCGAGCCGGCGCCGCCCGTGGGGTGCCCGTCCGGGTACAGCTCGTGCACGCAGTTGGCCTCCTCGTTGATCCGGCTCACCCGGTCCAGCAGCCCGATCTCCTCCACGTCCACCAGGAGCCGGCTGTCCTTGTCCTTCCACCCGATCAGCTGCATGCACGCAGTAGAAGCATGACACACATATATGAAGCGCCTCGAACCTATCTCGAAATCGACTTTGTTGTGTCTAAAGGACCGGCCGGACCTTTGCGCCGGCGATGGTATTGGTGCTGTAGAGCCTGGCGTTGTCGACGAGGTCGCAGTACTTGCGGAACGCGCCGGCGAAGCGCTTGTGCGACTTGAGCTGCGAGTGCACCCGCACGGCCCTCCCAGATATGATAGCTCGCCTGATGCCCCTGACGACGGCGAGGTAGGCGTCGCAGATGATGCCGACGAGCTCGATGCGGTACGGCTTCCTCGTCCTGCTGGGCCCTCCAGCCTGTCCCTGCTGCTCGCCGTCCTCCTCCTCCTCCACGGGCTCCCAGTACTTCTCCGTGGTCGTCCCGTCGGGCGCGACCCTGTAGCCGACCCCCATCCGGTACCGCTGCCGGTGCACGGACCGCGCCATGGCGATGGTCTGCCGCACGAACGGCTCCCATGACAGGGTGCCGTCCATGATCACGTCCCGCCCCTCGTTCAGCGCCGTCACCAGCAGCGACGCCGCCGCGTCCGTCGACGACTGGTGCACCTGTATATGATGCAGTACCCACGTGCCGTCAGTCACCTGGTGCGAGGCGAGCATTGGTTGATTTTTTTATCGCCACAGGAACATCTGATGGACGTACCAGCTCGGCAGTCTGCAGCATGTCGGTGTGGTGGCCCCGTGAGCTGATGGCTTGGTAGATCACGTCCGACTCCTTGAACGCGTCGGCCTCCACAACCACGGCGTTCGCCGCCGCCCCAGTCCAGAACACCCTGCATTGCAGATTCGCTGGGGAGTCAGAGAACGTACGTCCCTGATGCTCTCTCTATATGCAAGCTGCACCTGGTGTCCTGGTTAATCAGATTTTGGAAGGGACGACTCAGTACTCACTCCTTCATGATTTGCTTGAGCACGGTGCTCTTGCCAGCGCCCATGCCGCCGCCCATCAGTAGCAGGACCGGGCTGCGGTCGCTGTGCGCAGCCGGGACCATCACGTCCGTGCCCGCCCGGCAGCGGTCGTGCTGGCAGTGTATACCGATGACCTTGAGCTCCTCCACCAGCGTGGTGAACAGCCTGGTAACCTTCAGCTCTCTCGTCACCCTCTCAAACCTCATCTTCCTGTACATAAGAAACCAGCGCCAAAATTCATTTCTAACTAATCCGAAGAGACGCAAAATAGAGGTTAATTTCATCCATATTCTCGATCGGGAAGAGGAATGAATAAAAAAAAGGAAAAGAAACACGGATCGGATAGGCGTACGACTGAATTACCTAGTGGCCTCCATTACCATTCTTCTGAGTTTTCTTCTAGGCTGCTCGTGGGTCAGAACCTATTCATATATGCAATTGAACCCAACATTAGTATATGACTGGCACACAGAAAGGCAATTGTATAAAATCACCAGGAGGACGACGTCGCGCCGATTTTACGGTGCGCAAATAAATATTGTTTTTTTCTGGCGCTTATTCCTCCGGCGGATCGATCGGATACCTGCGTGATTATGTGGGTTGCAAATTTCCAGTGGAAGGAGAAGTAGCCGAGGATGCATTTGTCCAGCTCCTCGATGAGCTGCACGAGAAGGGCGTCCGGGTTCATCTTGTTGTGGAAGAAGGCCAGCAGATTCTGCTCGTAGCCCTCGGTCTTCTTCAGGTAATCGTAAGACAGCGTGCAGAGGTGCGGGCACTCGTTCAGATCTTCGAAACCGATTTGCGTCGCTGGAAAAAACAAATCCCGATCGGTTATTAAGACCAATTAATGGGAATGTAATTAACCCATGCATCAGCAAAAAGAAAAATTGAAAACGTGAGCTAACAGGCGTACCGACGTAGTGCGCGAACGTCTGGATCTCGTGGACACGGCCGCCGGCCGAGATGTTGAGCAGCGGCACCACCGGCTTCGTCGGGCTTGCGTCCTTCACCGCTTCCTCGCTGCCGCCATTGTCCGTCGGTTGCGCGACGCGGTCCAAGCGATCGGGCACAACCGCGCGCAACATCATGAGCCCATCTACCGGGAGGAGCTACGCGGCGTCGCCTGTGATCGGGGAATGTGCGTCCTGCTGCTCTCTCTCTGAGATGCAAAGCTTGAGGCTAGAATCGAGAGAGAGAGAGAGAGAGAGAGAGAGAGAGAGAGAGAGAGAGAGAGGGTCTCGAGGCTGGGGACGGGGATCCAAAGATTCCAAAGGGTGCGGAGGTGCGAGAGCGAAACGAGTGCATGCATGGGATGGGCACGGGCCGGCACGGCACTATGTTCGGTTTCCTTTTGATCCTTTGGTCTTCGGTTACCGTCAGGACGATGGATGCGAGGACGCGGTACTGCGGCGACCGCCAATGCTGGACCGTTCCCTCTTTGCGGATCCCAACAATCAGCGCCTCGCCCCTCCTCGCTTCCTCCGCTGTAGCAGCAGAGAAGATGAGTTTCTGCTGCCGCGCGACCAGTGAATGCAATGATTATGTGTTTGGTTGCTCGCACCAACAGATTACTGCTTCGGTGCCCGATGCATTGTCCGATATAGTACTGATGAATCAATTAGTTATCACTGGAGGTGCTGATTTTGGATGAAAGAAAAAGAACCCACTATGTTTGAGAATCGACTCATGCCGACTATTTTAAAAGCAAAGCCAAGATCGTGGTGCTGCTCTGCAATGGGGAGCAAGCAGCTGCAAGCATGCAACGACAATTTTGTTTATTCATCAGTCATCACACACAGGACCAACAAGCACAAAGATCGCCTTCTTTCCGGACCTGATATGGCCGCCAGAGGATGGAACCAAGCAAATCTACCAAGTGCAGAGTAAAAGCCCTGTTTATTTGGCTTATTTGGCTCATAAGTCATAACTGAAAGTATTATTGGCTGTTTAGTGTGAGATAAAAATAATATTCGTTGTTTGATAAACCATAGTTTATAAGTCAAATATGACCAAGCGAACAGGCTAAAAGATGACGATGTACTTTTGCACACATGTATATGGTTGCATTTGCTTATACAAGCAAATAAACAGTGGTGAACGACCCAGGTAAAGGAATTAGCAGCGGTGAACAGTAAAAATCTTATTTCAAGTTTCTTCCAAAAAGAAGTTGTACAATTGTACAAATCTGTCGGTACTGAAAGGATCAAGATGTCCAAGAGGAGGTGAATTGGGCTAATTCTAAATTTTTTGTAATAATTAAACCCTACACTTAGCCCACTTCACCCCTTGTGCCTAAAAAGTGATTATAATGATCTGCCGCACAAAAGTTCCAATCCTACTCTACCATGGCAATTCTAAGAATGTAAAGACAAGAATTGAATTGCTCAAAAGTAAATGCTCAAAGTAAAGAGATGAAAAGGAACGCGGCGATGTTTTGCCGAGATATCGGAGAGTCGCCACTCCCCACTAGTCCTCGTTGGAGCACCCGCGTAAGGGTGTAGCCCCCCTTGATCCATGCAAGGATCAAGTGCTCTCTACAGGTTGATTCTTCGACACTCCGTCGCGGTGAATCACCCACAACCGCTCATAACTTGAGTTGGGTCATCCACAAGCTCCGCCGGATGATCACCAAACTCTCAATCACCACCAAGTCATCTAGGTGATGGCGTTCACCAAGAGTAACAAGTAAGAACTCTCACTTGACCACAACAAGCCTAATAAGAGGGGTGGATGCACACTTGCTATTCTCTTTTCACTAATAAGGCCATAATCTTGGATTCTCAAATCTCAGTCACCTCACTAGGTTCTTGCTCTCCTTAGCACTCTCAAGGGTGTTTCTTAGTTGTTAAAATGGGCAAGAGTACTCCCTTGAATGAATAGAGGAAGTATTTATACCCCTCATTCAAAACGAGCCGTTATGTGCCTGAGTCAGCATTCTGCGGGGTGACCGGACGCTCCGGTCAGTTCTCCCCGCCACTCAGCCGTTAAGTTGTGATCGGACTCTGATCTGCGTCCGGTCAGCACTGACCGGACGCGTCGGTTACGAGAACTGCTCTCTGGAACATTACTGATGTTGACCGGATACTAGAGTCCAGAGTCGGTCACTTCACTGTTCAGCGTCCGGTCAGTAACCGAAACTTGACCAGTGTCCGGTCAGCACTGACCGGACGCGTCCGATCAGGATTCTCCCTTTCTGGAACCTTACTGGAGTTGACCGGACTCTGGCACCTATCGTCCGGTCACTTTTCACTCAGCGTCCGGTTGCATCCAGACGACTTCACTTGATCAAATGAACTGACCAGACTCTACTGCCAGCGTTCGGTCACACCAGGACCAACGTCTGGTCAACATTTGACCCTCCATTCACTTTCAACTCGAAATCATATGTGAATGAAGTTTTCTCTAATTGATCTAAGAGCTACTTCGAAGCTACCTACTACTAGATTTGATAAGTGTGCACCACACATAACCCTCTAGACTTACCTAGGTCAAGTTACTAGTCCATACCCCTATAATAGTACGGTGAAAGGACCTAGGATGCCGCCTAGAGGGGGGTGAATAGGCGTTTCTGAAAATTAACACCTTTTAAATGCGAAAACGATTAATAAAGAGAGTTTTCAAAATGGAAACTCCAAATAAAGAGTAGTACCACCCCTTACAAGTTAGCCACAGAGTATATAAAAGATACTAAATGAATCTAGGAGCCAAACGCCTGCAACCAAAGAGTTAGAAACAATACAATTCAGTTTGGCGTAGGGGCTAATACCGGACGTGTCCGGTATGTGCAGGCAGACAACATATCATGTGTTGCTTGGACTTCTTGCTCCGGCTCGGCACTCTTGAGGTCTTGTGAGGCTTCTTCACTGCATGAAGACACAATGGACATACTTTCCATTGACTCGACCTCAAGTGCATCATCGCATTTGGATTCTCCATATAACTCAACGAGTTTGGTCCAAATGAGATGAACACTCTCCGGAGGTGGTTGTCCATTGAATATTGCCTCATCTTGAACCTCTGCACTCAATGTACTCAAAATAATATTAATAGCTTGAGCATTGAGTTGCACGCATATCTCTTCCTCTTTTGATAAATTCTTATAGTTGCTCCAATCAACTATAGGACGAGGTATGCTTGCAAACACAATATGCTCAACAATAGGACTAATATGTCTAAAAGCATTGAGTACATGAATTGACCAAGGTAGAAAGTTTGAACCATCATTTTGGAGAAGCACCGGCTCCAACTCGATAGGCGTCGACATCCTTTTCTCACGGCGATAAAGCCTTAGGTGAGAACCTGGCTCCGATACCAATTGAAAGGATCTAGGATGCCGCCTAGAGGGGGGTGAATAGACGTTTCTGAAAATTAACACCTTTTAAATGCGGAAACGATTAGTAAAGAGAGTTTCCAAAATGGAAACTCCAAATAAAGAGTAGTACCACCCCTCACAAGTTAGCCACAGAGTATATAAAAAGATACTAAATGAATCTAGGAGCCAAACGCCTGCAACCAAAGAGTTAGAACACAATACAATTTAGTTTGGCGCAGGGGCTAATACCGGACGTGTCCGGTATTCATGACTTCAGTGGAACAGCCCCGAACTTGCTCCTTTTGATTTCTATCTTCAATCCAAACTGCAGGAAACTATTAGAGATAGTAATATACACAGAGAACCTACAGAATAGCTAGAGCAACACAAATATCAAATTAAATGCAAATTGAGACACGATATTTGTTTTACCGAAGTTCGGACTCGTTCGAGTCCTACTCTCCGTTGAGGGGGCTGCGGGCGACCTAGCGAAGGTCAGCCCTAGAGGGTACCACGAAGGTCACTCTAGCCGGAGTCTTTTCCAACTTCTTTTCCTCCTTCCACTAAATGATTCCGAGGCGGCGGAATCGACCGTTACAAACTTTCCGAAGCAACCACAATCTCTCGGTTGCTCTCCGGTGACGCCTAGCCGTCTAGGACCGAAGAGTCCAAGAGTAACAAATGCGAATCACGAGATTGATAATATGCACAAGTGCTCAAGTGGTGGCTTGCTCTCTTTTTCAAATTCTCTCTTAACCCACAAATTGATTTTGCAATTTGGATCACACACTCACTAAGAGAGGGTTTAGGAGAGTTGGCAAGGCTCAAAAACGTGTGTCTATCTCAGCAGAATCAGCAGCCTCCAAAGGTGCAGGCTTGGGGGTATTTATAGCCCCCTTAAAAAGTTAGCCGTTTTATAGCCGTTGCAATACCGGACACGTCCGGTATGCATACCGGACACGTCCGGTATGACTTACACTGTCCCAACGGTAACTAAGTTACAGTGAAGTTGTGAGGCGTCGGAACTCCCGATGAATGCCGGAACTCCCGACCGTCGGAACTCCCGATCCTCAGCAAATTTGAGAACCATGTAACTGAGTTAAAGAAAATGAGGTGTCGGAACTCCCGACACATGCCGAACTTCCGACCGTTGGAACTCCCGACTCACGTCGGAACTCCCGACGAACCAACCCGAGAACAACAATTTTACAACTGCTGGGTGAATACCGGACACGTCCGGTATAGCCAGACCAGCAACAAGTTAGTTAGCTCTTTTGTCTCTCAAACACTCAAATCTCACATGGGTTGGCTTGAGCACTTATGAAACATTATCTATCAACATGATGCATCCCTCTTAATAGTACGGCATTCCTATTTACTCAAATTTAAAAGTATAACGAATTTAAACCTTTTGAGTTGCTCTTTTTGAACCGAAGCCGTGTATTCCAATCTTCATCAAGTGAGGGCGCCAACATGTTGATATTGATCTTTTTCACTAGAGCATAGCCATCTTGAGCACGTGACTTGATTCCATTCATCAAATTTGAATAATCCCAAATGTATCAAGTCACTTCTATCAAACACTCCAATAGTGATTTGATCCTTCACATCAATATGACCATCGTAGCTTGATTAGTACCTCAACTAAATGCAAGTACTTTCTTCTTCACCCTAGCTAGGTTCTTCGGCCGCCAAGCCGTCGCTTGCCCTTCACCCTTGCTTAGTACCTCGAAGCCTTTCCTTGCTATCTTCACCATCTCAAGCCATCAAGTCACA